TGCCCCCCCTCACACAAGGCACATCAATGTCACGGAGTCGGTGCGCGTGCGCACCAGGGCCAGCACCAACGCCAGCACCGGTACCAGCACGATCGCTGGTGCCTACTCCAGCGCTGCCACCAGCACCGACGCCAGCATGAACGCTTGCGATTGCTCTGGCACCGACGCCAGCGCCTACGCCAGCGCCGACGCCAGCACTGATGCCAGCACGAGCGCCGGCGCCTGCGCGGCACCAACGCCAGCGCATACATCAGCACCGATGTCGTCACCGACGCCAGCACCAACGCCGACGCCGACATCAGCACCGACGCCAGCACCGACGCCAGCCTGAACGCCAGCGCTGGCGCCAGCACCAGCGCCAGCGCCTACACCAGCGTCGACGACAGCGCTTATGGAAGCACGAGTGCCAGCGCCTATGTCGGCACCAACGCCAGCGCTTACACCATCACCGACGTCATCACCGACGCCAGCACCAGCGCCTACGCCAACACCAGCACCGACGCCAACGCCTACACCAGCGCCGACGCCAGCACCGACGCCAGCACGGACTCCAGCGCCTGCAACGCCGGCGCCTACATCAGCACCGACGCCAGCTTCGACGCCAGCATGGACGCATGCGACTGCGGCGGCACCATCGCCAGCGCCTACACCAGCGCCGACGCCAGCACTGACGCCAGCACGAACGCTGGCGCCTACACCAGCACCGCAGGCAGGCAGCACCGATGCCTTTACAGACACCAGCACCAATGCCGACCCCTACACCAGCTCCGACGCCATCGGGGTGTAGCGCAGAGGGAAGTACTGTTCCAGAGCGTCACCGATATAACAGCAGTGTCTACATCGATGTTGAGGTTGGGGCCCATCACGCCCAATCATTGTTGGACTCTTCGCAGGCTTGGCGCCCTCAGGACAACTCGCTTGGCCATTGGATGCAGATGGACCTTGGGAGTGTGACGCAAGCCGCTGGTGTTGTGACCCAAGGTCATCAGGATTTGAACGGATGGGTGAGCAGCTACGAAGTGGCTATCACGCAGGATTGCCATTCCTGGACTATTGTCGACGGCAGTTTCAAGGGTAATTCCGATCGGGGCACCAAGTTGCAGGGCTTTTCCAGCCCGTGCAGAAGGCGCGTTATGTCCAGAGCTGTTCGATGTCATATCTTGGTTGACTGTCTACGAGAGTTTCGGGCCTCGCCTTCTCCTGCCTACTTACCACGGTAGCGCCCACAATGCGTGCTTGCACAGACACCGACAATGGAGCCGGAGATACATTGAATGCCGATTGTGCCGAGTACGCGTCTTTTCACTCGTGGTGCCCACAGTGACGTGAGTAGGCTGATTGAGGTTTCGCTGTGTCGGACATGTGCTGTGCTTGCGGAGGGGGCCAGACGGCTTGTGCAGACAGCGACCATGCGGCCACAGATGCGAATCGTCAAACTTGCGAATTTGTTGCATCCGAACCGTCGTGGTGCTCATCGGCACGTATACATGGCGATCCATATTTCACAGCGTGGGACATGTGCTGCGCTCGCGGAGTGGACATGGGTTTTGCGCAGGCACCGACCAAGGCTCCACATATCTACATAATACTGGCTGCGCCGGCTATGCGTCCGATCCGTTGTTGGGCTCGACGCTAGACGGTCTATGGGACGATACAGTATTCACATCGTCGGACATGTGTTGTGTTTGCGGAGGTGTTTGGCCAGACAGCGACATGGAGCCACACATACGTACGGTATCAATCGATGGCGGCTCTCCAGGAGGTCAAGGGAGGTCTTGGTTCGCGACCACCTTTTGCTCTGAGGACATCTGGGCGAGTGCGCGTCCCTCCCTCCCCCTGCCTTTTCTCTTCGCTCCTTCCCCCCTGTTCCCGCGACTTGGTGTCGTGGCGCACACCGCGTGCCTCGGCACTGCGTGTGGCCCCTTTGCCCGCTGATGGCCGACCCTGGATATGATCCAGGCTCCCCGCTCTTGCCAGCCGTCGCGGTTGCCGCACGCGCTGCTGGGGGAGCGCCCGCCCGCTCTCTCCCGTCTAGATTTCTCTGATTTCGTTGGCGAGTGTTTACACCCAGCAGGTATCGTTTTTTCTCTCCTCGCCCCGCTCCCCGTTTTCCCTCTTCTCTTTTCCCCTCCTGTCTCCCTCGATTGTGCTTGCGAAGGCTGCTGTGCGGGCGCCGTCGTGTCAGACTGGCTTACGCACGCGCGAGTTGACAGTCAGTGTTCGCCATTGGCCGTTGCTTCCTTGTCTTACTGCCCAGCCCGAGCCCAGGGCTACTGACAGTTTTTCAGCTTCCGCTTTTAGTGCTCAACTTTCGGCTGGGACCGTTTAGATCGCCGTATCTTAGCAATGGTTCTTCACTGTCCTCCTCCCCTCTTCTTTCGCGCGCGGTTTTTCGCTTCTGGCCTTCGGCCTGGTTTCAAGCAGCATTGATCGTGGCAGCCGGTTTGGGCAAGCACGCTGCCCACTCTCCCTCTTCTTGCACGGTCTCACCAGCCAGTTTTAGTATGGTGGAGTCCCCTTCCCATCAGTTGGGATGATGGTAGTTTTCACCATCGTGTGCTCTTGCAAGGGGAAAAATGTGTTTGTTGGTCAAAGAGGAGAGCGTGGCCCTAATTAGCGCGCCTCCCTCTGGAGCCCCGGAAATCGCCCCTTGGGGTCTTCTTGTGGCGTTCTTGGGCAGTCTTGGGGTTGTCTTGGAGCCTTCTTGAGCCCCTCGTGGATTGCTCTTGGGCCCTCTTGAGGCTCCAGAAGCCATCGGAAACGAAGTCGAGAATACTAAAATCATTGACTTTCTATTGTTGTTGAAAAGTTTGGGCGTCATGGGTGCGTCCTGGGGGGGGTCTGGAGAGCCAGAGGTAATCATAGTGCCTGCCTGAGTGCAACGGCAAAATGAAGATGTCATGCCCGAGACATTGCGGCCTGAACCTCCGGTCGCTGAAATGAGTGACACCAGCGATGAGGACAGACTCGCACATGCATCAGTGTCAGCATCAGAGTGGTAGCCAGAGGCATAGGGGCGCTTCAGTCGGCAATGTGTGCGTGACAAGTCGAACACAAAAGTGACGGCGGCCGAAGGGACGCGTGACGGCTGTGCAAACGGCGACTCAGCGGCCGGCACAGCTCATACGATGACCCAAGTGAAGTCACCCGATTCGCCAATCGCCAGGGTATACCCCCAGCGCATCAGGAAGCTCGGTTCTCCTCACAGACTAACAGTACGCAGCAAAGTACCGCGTGAACAACGGGTGCCAAACGCACTAGCACGGCATGGTGGTGTCTCCAGCGCGGCCCGCGTGCAAGAACGTCGGAAGTGGGAATTGCACGCACGCGCGCACAAAAACACACGCACACACCACACACACATACACATCACACACATACACACATTCACACACACACAAGCACACACACACGCACTCACACACAAACACAAACACACATACAACAACACAAGCACGGTGACACCCACACCAACACATACACACACATGCTCGCGCGTCTTTAGCAGAACAACCTGTTTTGAGAAAAAGGGCCGCAGTCCTTCCGCGCATTGTCTGGACAAGTCGCTTCTGCCTGCAGCAGTCAAGTAGCATCAAACCTGCGCATGTTTGTAAACATGAATGACTCCCCGTCCGTTTAACTGCTACGGACCGCGGAGCAGGTCTCAAGCAAAAACTCCCGTTTGAAAAAGGAGGCGCTCTCCGTGGTTGCGAAAGCTGGAGACGACTTCGATTTTTTCATAGAGTCCCTGATTATGAGGATGCCTCGAGCGAGGGCCCCGTTTTGGAAAAGAATCGCCTCCCATCAGCGTCGCTGCGTTGTTCAAGACGGACATGCGCAACGCTAGGGCGAGAGCGAAATATTCAGGACGGCCCGCCCTCCAGCCGTGTAATTGCCGCAAACGTTTAAGACGAATGCTCGACGAGAGCAACATGTTCGGAACCGGCCGCCCTCTGGTGGGCGCGTTGCGTTTGTTAAGTTCCAATTGTTGCGCGGCGCTGCTGCGACAGCCGCATCTTCAAAATGAGCCGCTCTAAAGACGCGCACGGCAGAGCGACGAGGGCATGTTATATACAAAGGAGGAGAGACGGATGGAAAAGAGGAAAAGTAGGGGAGTGAACGGGGTGCTCTCGCGTACCCCCGCGGCATGACAGCCATTGCGGCTGAGATCCTTTGCGGTTGTTCCGCGCGGGGATTCAGTCTGCATCGGATCTTCCCTTTTCCGCGCTCCGAGAACCTTCGGCCAACGACGGAAGGGGCGTGGCTGATTCCAGTCATGGAGACGGCGAAGGCATGGCAGCCCAAGCTGGCCTGATTATTTCAAGTCGAGTAACATTTGCAAGCCATTCGCGCATACAGGCCACTTGCTTTTGTTTTCTTCAACACCTTCCCCGTGCCGCCCCCGTTTCCCTCTGCGCCGCCCTCCCCCGTACTCCTTCCCCCCCCCCCCCTCCCCTCTCAAATTTGCTACGTTTTCGTCGTATCCTCGCTCGTTCGCTCCTCCTTCTTTGTCCCGACCACCTCTTCTTCCTGCCCCCTCTCATCGTCCGCCCCGCGCCCCCTCGCCTCCGGGGGAATCTGCCCCTGCCTTCGCAGACCTCGCGCTACCAGGACCTGCAACGCAACCATCAGCTCGGCACGATCATTGTCCTGAGTGTTCTGAAGTCAAGAAGCCAGACTTCTGAATCCGACCGATTGGCTTTTTGAAACCAGTTTTTCGAATTCAAGAAGCCAGATCCCTGGAGGCGCCTCTCCGAGCACGACCGAAACACGGTGGCCGCGAAGCGCGCGAGGCGGGTGCAGGTGCAGGAGCAGAGAGCCAGCAGGTGCCCGAGCCGCAGCGCACGGCCCCAGGGCCGCGCGATCCAGATGCGGGCAGCCGAGGAGCGGGTCGCCCGTCGACCTCCGTCCCTCCGTCCCTTCGTCGCTCCCTCCGTCCTCCGCCCCTCCCCGGTGGGGGGCCCGGGCCCTCCTGGGGCCGTGGGGCCGGGCCGCGCCAGGCTGGCGGTCAGGATGGCGGACCAGCAGGGCGTGCAGTTCTTCGGCGACCGCGAGAGCGCGCAGCAGTGGCTGTCGCAGTTCGGGCGCCCGCCGTGATCCAGGGGAGGGCTGGCCGAGGCAGCGGTCGCGCTTTGGCCTCTGGGGGGGGGGGCCACCTCGTCGCCACGGCCGAGCGCAGCTCGGAGAGCTCGTCGGTGCTGGCCGCTTTGGGCCTCCTGGTGTGGCTTCTCGTCGCATCCGCCGGACCCGCCTCGCAACGCGGGCTAGGATGGCCCTGGAAGGGGCCCAGGGGCGGGTTCCGAGCTAGTCCGGGTCAGGTCTGGAAGGCCGCCGCTGCCTCAACGGGCCCTCCCCCGAGTGATGGTGGGCCGCGCCCGAGGAGGGCGGCGTTCGAGGGTCGGAGGCTCGTGGGATCAGGACAGGAGGAGGAGGAGGGATGAGGGAGGAACGAGGGGGAGGAGGGAGGAGGGAGGAGGGAGGAGGAGAAGGAGGGAGGAGGGAGGAGGGAGGAGAGAGGAGGAAGGAGGGAGGGCGGGAGCGGGAGGGGGAGGAGGGAGGAGGGAGGAGGAGGAGGGAGAGGGGGAGGGAGGGAGGGAGGGAGGGAGGGGAGGGAGGGAGGGAGGGGAGGGAGGGGAGGGAGGGGAGGGAGGAGGAGGAGGCGGAGAAGGAGGAGGAGGAGGAGGAGGAGGAGGAGGAGGAGGAGGAGGAGGAGGAGGAGGAGGAGGAGGAGGAGGAGGGGGTGGAGGGAGGGAGGGAGAGATGGAGGGAGGGAGGGAGGGAGGGAGGAGGGAGGAAAAAGCAGGGAGGGAGGAGGGAGGAGGGAGGAGGGAGGAGGGAGGAGGGAGCAGGGAGGGAGGGAGGGAGGAGGGAGGAGGAGGAGGAGCAGGAGGAGGACGGTCCGCTGGCGCCCCCCCCGATGGCTACACCTCAGTGCAAAATGCAATCCACGTGGCTAAGCCATTCGCTGACCTGGCTCGCTGGGGCTGAGCTTCGGCACCATGCGCATTCACGCCCGAGCTCAAGTAGCGTGTGCTGCGTGGTACGATAGCAGCAGCATGCTTGAACGGGGCACGGGGGGGCCGTCAAGCTGCGGCAGAGAGGGAGGCGGAACAGGTAATGAGGGACCCATGGCTATGGCCACGTGCCGCTGGGCTTGCTTCAAACAGTCCTCCGATCACATTGCGTCCAACGTGGCACGCAACAGCCTCTGGCGCACAAGAAGGGGGCGCCATTCAAATTTTACCACCTTGGCCCGTTCGGCACCAGACACGCGATATGATGCCGCAGCTTCCCTAGCCAACTTGTCGACTGAGTCGTTGCCAAGTTGCACCAACTCTGGAATACCACGATAAGCTGCTTCGCTGACGGTGAGGTGGGAGTTTGTATGAACAACTGTGAAGTCAGAAGACAACTTGAGATGACAAGTCTAGCCGATCCGTCCCCACAGAAGCGCGTCGAGACTGGAGGGAGACAAAAAACCTGCTAGCATGCCAGCCGACTCGGCGTCAGAGTCGTAGATTCTGGGATCAGGAACAAAACGAGTGGCAAGCGCTAAACTGTCCCAGGCACTCCTGCCCTCAGCTCTCGCCCATCGCGTCGAACAGTGCCAATTGCAATGCCAACCCTTCTCGGGTGAGGGTCGCGGCTATCCAGATCGGCACTTGCGTCCCCGAACGTGACGAGCTGGTGTCAAGATGTGCTTGCACCGAGAAGTGCAGGAACCAGGACGCCATCGACAAGTCCGAAATTCAACCTCTGTTCCTTGTGGGTCATCGTGAGGTTCATTCCCTCATTGTGGGAGGGTCCACTGAGGCAGGAGGAGGAGGGAGAGGAGAGGGAGAGGGAGGGAGGAAGGAGAGGAGAGAGGACGTCAGCGATGCTGCAGCACACCCTCCTTTCCAAAGTCCCTTTTCCATCAGCCTGCGCAAGTTGTCCTTCCTACTACGGGGAGTCCCCTTGAAGGACGAGTTCTCCGTGGCCATGCCGTGCAGGCGGGATTAACCAAGGCAACATGAAGGAACATACATTCACAAGTAGCCGTCAAGCGAGAGCTTCATTTTGAAACGGAGCCATCCTCGATGGATGTCGTTGGTTCCTCATGCTTCTGCTTCGGGTGTTACAATCAGAGGAAGTGTTAAGAGAGCGAGAGAGAGAGGCCCATTTGGGCAGGGAGCTGCGTTCCACCCGTGTACATGTTTTATTGGTGGGTCATGCAGCCATCGCAGATCTCAAAAGAAACTACGAATTTCACAAGGAGCCGCGCTCCATCCGTGTAGCGTTGTGCAAGCCTTGAAGAATACCTTTTTACGTCGCAGCGCGGCAGAGGCAGTGCGCACGTGCGCTCGGGCGGTCTGGGCAACGGAATGCGCACATTAACCGGTGGCAGCCTTGAAGACTAGCGTGCGAGGTGTGCTCTGGCCGTGTGATAGTTGAACACCTTACGGCGAATGTGTGCGGCCCGACGTGAAGAGCCACCAAACATATCCTCCCTCCATCCGAATCTCTGCGGGTAAAGTGAAGCTTCAGGATCGTAAGCGCTCAGGGGTATCTGGCTAAGCGCCCAGCCCGTCCTACCGACGCGCCTGGTGGTGCGGTGAGAAGGAGTTGTTTACATGGAAGAGAGATGAAGTAACTAGAAGGATGAGGGGAGCCGGTGACAGGAAGAGAGAGCATGTAACAGGAAAGAGCAGGAGGGAGAGAGGAGAAGGCCGATGATGAGGAGGGCGACGACGACAATAATGTCGATTATGCAAACGATTCTGACGATTACGATGATGACAGCGATGGCATTGGCGACGGCGACGATGGTACTACTGGTGACGATCGTGATCCTCACGTTGGTGATGACGATGGCGATGACAATGCTGATAACGATTATGACGATGGTGGTGGCGGTGGTGATGATGATGATGGTGCTGATGATGATGGTGCTGGTGGTGGTGGCGGTGATGGTGGCGTTCGTGGTGGTGGTGATTATGGTGATGCGGATGACGACTGTGATGATGACTGTGATGATGATTGGGATGACCACTAATGGTTGTGACGATACTGCTGATGATGAGTACGATGGTGATGACGACGACGACGACTAGGAATATGATGACGATGATGCTGCTGATGATGCTGATACTGATGCTGATAATGCTGATGATGATGACGATGATGATGATGATGCTGACACCGAGGATGTCACTGATGATGCTGATGCTGCTGATCATAATGGTGATGCTGATGATGATATTGATGACGATGATGATGCTGCTGTTGTTGATGATGATGCTGGAACAGATGATGATGATGCTGATGATTATGATGATGATGATGATGATGATGATGATGATGATGATGATGATGATGATGATGATGATGATGATGATGATGATGATGATGATGATACACATTGTTCAGTTCTAATTCTTCGAACATTCCTTGTTTTATTGGGAGGGCAAGCTCATTTTATTTCTGATTATTCTATCCTGGGCCTCTTCCTGGCCACTAGGGGCTTAGGAACAATTAAAACGAGCAAACTTAGAAATGAGCACGATTATAAATGAACGACGTGTACTGATACTGATGATACTGATGATGGTGAGGAGGAGGAGGAGGAGGAGGATGAGGATGAGGATGAGGATGATGATGCTTATGGCAATGATGCTGCTGATGATGATTATGATGCTGATGATGATGCTTGATGGTGATGATGATGATGCTGATGATCCTGGTGACGATGATTACTGTGATGCTGATTGGGATGACCAGTGCTGATGGTGACGATGCCGACGATGGTCGTGGTCCTCATGATGGTGATGTCGCTGACGATGATGACTATGCTGCTGACGATGCTGACGATGGTGGTGGTGCTGGTGTTGTGCTGGTGTTGGTGGTGGTGATGATGATGATGGTAGTGGTGGTGGCGGTGGTGGTGGTGGCGGCGTTGGTGGTTGTGGTGATAATGCTGATGCTGGTGAGTACTGTGATGATGACTGTGATGGAGACTGGGATGAACAATGCTGATTGTGACGATGATGGGGATGATAGTGCTGATGATGATATGGAGGTGGTTGTGGTGGCGGTGGTGGTGGTGCTGGCCTTTTAATGATGATGACGAGGAGGTGTGCGATGATGGCGATGATGATGACGACGCGAATGGTCTGAGGCTGCGGCGGATGATCTTGAAGGTGAAGCTGATGATGATTATGCTGATTCAGATGACGGCAACGGCGAGTATGACCATGATGATGAGGATGATGGTGGTGATGATAAGGATGATGTCGGCGACGACGACGACGGCGATGCTGCTGTTGCTGATGATGACGACGACGATGATGATGATGCCGATGACGATGACGATGATGATGAGGGTGATGATGATGATGATCATGGTGATGGTAATGGTGATGGTGATGGTGATGGTAATGGTGACGGTGATGGTGGAAATGATGATGCTGATGATGCTAGTGATGATGATGATGAGGATGATGATGATGGTGATGATGATGCTGACTCTGATCTTATGATACTAACGATGACGATGGTGATGATGATGATGATGATGATGATGATGATGATGATGATCATATGGTGGTGGTGATGATGTTGACGATGCTGATGACGATGCTGATGCCGCTGCTGATGATGATGGCAATGACGATGAGGATGATGATGCTTCTGCTTATGAGTATGCTGATGCTGATGCTGATGATGAGGATGAGGGCCGTGCTGATGTTGATGATAATGATGCTGATGCAGATGATGATTTTGCAGATGATGATGGTGATGGTGCTCATTGTGATGATGCTGCTGCTGATGATACTGATGCTGATGATGATGATTCTGATGATGGTGATGCTGATGGTGATGATGATGCTGCTGCTGCTGATGATGATGATGTTGCGTATGATGGTTATGCTGATGATGTGGATGATGTTGATTATGGTGGTGATGATGATAATGATGATGATGCTGATGATGCTGCTGATGATGATGATGCTGATGATGAGTATGATTATGATGATGATGTATATGCTGCTGCTGTTGATGATGATAATGATGCTGACGGTGGTGGTGGTAGTGATGATGATGATGTTGATGTCGATGCTGATGATGATTATGACGCTGATGCTGTTGATGCTGATGATGATGCTGCTGAAGAAGAAGATTATGGTGCTGGTGATGATGACGACGATGATGCTGATTATAATGATGGCGGTGATGATGCTGATGCTGCAGATGACGATGATACTGATGATGATGCTGATGATGGTGCTGATTATGATGATGCTGCTGATGATGATGCTGATGATGATGATGACGACGATGATGATGATTATTATGATGATGATGCTGATCATGATGAGTATGATGACGATGATGCTGCTGCTGCTGATGATGATGATGATATGATGATGATGC